TTGTCTGATTGCTGAGCTAGGACTTCCAGTACTATGTTGAATAGCAGTGGTGAGAGTGGACATCCCTGTCTTGTTCCTGATCTTAGGGGTAAGGCTCCCAGTGCTTCCCCATTGAGAATGATATTTGCTGTGGCCTTTTCGTAGATGGCTTTTAAGGTGTCGAGGAAAGTTCCCTCTATCCCTACACTCTGAAGTGTTTTGATCAGGAATGGATGCTGTATTTTGTCAAATGCTTTCTCTGCATCTAATGAGAGACTCATATGGTTCTTGGTTTTTCTCTTGCTGATATGATGAATCACATTGATTGTTTTACGAGTGTTGAACCAGCCTTGTGTCCTGGGGATAAATCCTACTTGGTCATGGTGAATAATTTTCTTAATGTGTTGTTGGATCCTATTGGCTAGTATCTTGTTGAGAATTTTCGCATCCAAGTTCACCAGGGATATTGGTCTGTAATTCTCCTTTTTGGTGGGGTCTTTGTCTGGTTTTGGAAATAAGGTGATGCTGGCCTCATAGAACGAATTTGGAAGTACTCCATCTCTTTCTATCTTTCCAAACACCTTTAGTAGAATAGGTATGATTTCTTCTTTAAGCATTTGATAGAATTCCCCTGGGAAGCCATCTGGCCCTGGACTCTTGTGTCTTGGGAGGTTTTTGATGACTGCTTCGATTTCCTCCCTGGTTATTGGCCTGTTCAGGTTTTGTATTTCTTCCTGCTCCAGTTTTGGTAGTTTGTGGCTTTCCAGGAATGCGTCCATTTCTTCTAGATTGCCTAATTTATTGGCGTAGAGCTGTTCATAATATGTTTTTAAAATCGTTTGTATTTCCTTGGTGTTGGTAGTGATCTCTCCTTTCTCATTCATGATTTTATTAATTTGAGTCTTCTCTCTCTTCTTTTTAATAAGGTTGGCTAATGGTTTATCTCTCTTATTAATTCTTTCAAAGAACTAACTCCTGGTTCTATTGATCTGTTCCACAGTTCTTCTGGTCTCAATTTCGTTGAGTTCTGCTCGAATTTTAATTAACTCTGTTCTTCTGCGGGGTGTCGGGTCGATTTGCTGTTTTTTTTTCTAGCTCCTTTATGTGTAAGGTTAGCTTTTGTATTTGAGTTCTTTCCAGTTTTTGAATGGATGCTTGTATTGCGATGCATTTCCCCCTCAGGACTGCTTTTGCTGCATCCCAAAGATTTTGAACAGTTGTATCTTCATTCTCATTAGTTTCCATGAATCTTTTTAATTCTTCCTTAATTTCCTGGTTGTCCCTTTCATCTTTTAGCAGGATGGTCCTTTACCTCCATGTGTTTGAGGTCCTTCCAAACTTCTTGTTGTGATTTAGTTCTAATTTCAAGGCGTTATGGTCTGAGAATATGCAGGGGACGATCCCAATCTTTTGGTATCGGTTCAGACCCGATTTGTGACCCAGTATGTGGTCTATTCTGGAGAAAGTTCCATGTGCACTTGAGAAGAATGTGTATTCAGTTGCGTTTGGATGTAAAGTTCTGTAGATATCTGTGAAATCCATCTGGTCCAGTGTATCATTTAAAGCTCTCGTTTCTTTGGAGATGTTGTGCTTAGAAGACCTATCAAGGGTAGAAAGGGCTAGATTGAAGTCACCAAGTATAAGTGTATTATTATCTAAGTATTTCTTCACTTTGGTTAATAATTTGTTTAAGTATTTGGCAGCTCCCTCATTCGGGGCATATATATTGAGGATTGTTAAGTCCTCTTGTTGGATAGATCCTTTAAGTATGATATAGTGTCCCTCTTCATCTCTCACTACAGTCTTCGGGGTAAATTTTAGTTTATCTGATATAAGGATGGCTACCCCTGCTTTTTTTTGAGAACCATTTGAATGGTAAATGGTTCGCCAACCTTTTATTTTCAGGTTGTAGGTGTCCTTCTGTCTAAAATGAGTCTCTTGTAGACAGCAAATAGATGGGTCCTGCTTTTTTATCCAGTCTGAAACCCTGCGCCTTTTGATGGGGTCATTGAGCCCGTTCACGTTCAGAGTTACTATTGACAGATATGAGTTTAGTGTCATCATGATATCTATTCAGTCCTTGTTTTTGTGTATTGTTCCACTGAACTTCTTCTTAAAGGGGAATTTTAAGAGTCCCCCTTAAAATTTCTTGCAGAGCTGGTTTGGAGGTCACATATTCTTTCAGTTCCTGCCTGTCTTGGAAGGTCTTTATCTCTCCTTCCATTTTGAATGAGAGCCTTGCTGGATAAAGTATTCTTGGTTGCATGTTCTTTTCATTTAGGACCCTGAATATATCCTGCCAGCCCTTTCTGGCCTGCCAGGTCTCTGTGGAGAGGTCTGCTGTTACCCTAATATTCCTCCCCATTAAAGTCAGGGACTTCTTGTCTCTTGCTGCTTTAAGGATCTTCTCTTTATCTTTGGAATTTGCAAGCTTCACTATTAAATGTCGAGGTGTTGAATGGTTTTTACTGATTTTAGGGGGGGATCTCTCTATTTCCTGGATCTGAATGCCTGTTTCCCTTCCCAGATTGGGAAAGTTTTCAGCTAGGATTTGTTCAAATACATATTCTGGCCCTCTGGCCCTTTCGGTGCCCTCAGAAACCCCAGTTAAACGTAGGTTTTTCTTCCTTAGGCTCTCACTTATTTCCCTTAATCTGTCTTCATGGTCTTTTAATTGTCTGTCTCTTTTTTCCTCAGTTTCCCTCTTTGCCATTAACTTGTCTTCTATGTCACTCACTCGTTCTTCCACCTCGTTAACCCTCGTCATTAGGACTTCTAGTTTGGATTGCATCTCATTCAATTGATTTTTAATTTCTGCCTGATTGGTTCTAAATTCTGCAGTCATGAAGTCTCGTGAGTCCTTAATGCTTTTTTCCAAAGCCACCAGTAGCTGTATAATAGTGCTTCTGAAATTGCTTTCTGACATTGAATTGTAATCCAGATTTTGTAACTCTGTGGGAGAGAGGACTGTTTCTGATTATTTCTTTTGAGGTGGGTTTTCCTTCTAGTCATTTTGCTCAGTGCAGAGTGGCCAAAAACAAGTTGTATTGGGAAAAGGAGAAAAAGAGAGAGAGAGAAGGAAAGAAAAGAGAAAAAGAAAAAAGAAAAAGAAGGAAAAGAGAAAGAAAAAGAAAGAAAGGTGAAAAAAAAGGGGGTGGGGGAAGCAATCAGAAATCAAAAAGAAAAAAAAAACACGGGGGAGTATCTTCTGATTCTGTATACTTTAAGTCCCTTGACTTCCCCTGGAACTTGTTGGTCTAGCTGGTCTTCTTGGGAGGGGCCTGCTGTGCTGATTTTCAGGTGTTAGCACTTGGGGGAGCTGCTCTGCCCCTGCCTGCTGCAGGGCTCGGTGGGGATTGTTTACCCCGTGAGGCCCCAGGAGGAACAGCCCCAGTGGCTATGGCAGCTCTGGAAACCTGGATTCAGCTCCCACAGTAACTACGGGGCTCTCAGTCTGCAGGGCCTGGAGGCTCCAGGGCGGGGCCGCTGATCTGCTCAGCTCGGGGCAGGAGCGTCCTTGCTGTCCTGGGCCCTCCCAGCCTCTGCCTGTCCCGGGGGGAGGCCGGATCCTGGGCTGTGTCTCCGGAGCCCTGTGCTCTGGGGCCTGCGCTGTTGGATTCGCGCTCCCGCCCCGCAGCCCCCTCCGCGGAGCCGCCGCCCGAGCCCCCCCAGCTGCTCCAGGCCGGGCAGGCCCCTCCGAGCAGAGCCGCGCCCGAGCCCCTCCCAGCTGCTCCGGGTCCCGCCGTGCTCCCGCCGTGCCCGCTACAGCCCTTAGGGAGCTCGGCGCACTCTCCCGGGGCGCAGGTGTCTGTTAGTGTCCCAGGGAGCCTGAGGGCATCCCCGCCCTCCTGGGTCCTGCTCCAACTCCCTGCGGGCCCCTTTCCGCCCGGGAAGGTTGGTGCAGCTCCTGCTCCTCCGGGACGGGGCTCTCCTGTCCTGGGGACACTCGCCCCGGCCTCAGCCCGGCTCCTCGCGGGCCCCTCCCCCTTGGAGGCCTTTTGTTTCTTTATTTCTTTTTCTCCGTCTTCCTACCTTGATAGAAGCGCGAACTCTTCTCACTGTAGCATTCCAGCTGGTCTCTCTTTAAATCTCAGGCCGAATTCGTAGATTTTCAGGATGATTTGAAGGTTATCTAGGTAATTTGGTGGGGACAGGTGATTTGGGGACCCTACTCTTTCGCCATCTTGCCCCTCCCCTCCTCTGTTGAGTTTTTTATATTCTCGTTGGTTTTATAAGAGGGAATAGCTTTTTATTTACATTTCAAAATATTTTTATTTTTAATATGAGTGGCATCAGAAATATGTTTTATATTCAAGTTTATTTGTAATGTTGAGGGAATAAGATTTGGTAGTCGAAGTTCTTTTTCAGCTCTATAATCTGTTAACCTTCTATTTGGGAAGATTACCAAGAGGTAACTTAAACATTTTGTAGTGGGATGTTTGTTAATTTTGGATCTTGAGTTGCCTTTGCATTTATTTAATTTTTTAAATAGATCAGTGAAATTAACTAAAATTATAAGAACATAAATAGATATAGTAGAGGTTACATTGAAATTTGAGTTGAGTAGTGCTCTACAGTATATTACGGTACTGTATCAGGAGTGGCATAGCTGGTAGTAAGTTTAATAAAGAGTCTTTGGTCCACAGGTGCATTGCTTTTCTGGTAAAGAGTGGAATTGGGCCCAGCAATGGGAGGTTTGCTCATGAGTGTAGCCTGGCCTTGTTATTCTTTCCAAACAGAGTGCTACCATGTGGGGAAAGGGGATTATCAGGTGTGTGTGAAGTACAGCAGCCATGCCTGGCAATGTGCGGGTTGGAGATGATGCAGAAGACCAGCTCTCCTTTCTTGAGGGAGCTAGCTATTCCTTCTGTGCTCTAAGGCTTGGCATCACCGCAGAGTTCCTCATTCTTCTTCCAGGAGATAGCAAAGAGCTTCGTATTATACTAATATTTTCTCATATTTGTCTACTGAGAGGAGAAGTCCCTGTGATGTATGCAGCATCAAAAATACATGTACTGTACTAATTATACATTTAATTTTTCTCTAACCAGGGGTGCGTCAACTTGAAATTATGTGCTGCTTTGGCTGTATGTCAGTTCTTGCCAACTACTTCGTGTTCATGACTTTCTTCCCAGCTTGCGTTTCCTTGGTTTTAGAGCTAAGAGCAGTTCTTACTTATGGTATTAACAGAAGAGTAATGTTTCTCATCACATCCATTCACATAAATGAAATCCGTACATTGTAATGTAAGACTGGTTTATTTTGTAGCTTTCTCGGGAAAGCCGCGAGGGTCGTCCAATTTGGCAACTGAGCCATTTTGCTCGAGTTTTAGAAGAAGAAGAAAATAAACCAAATCCTGTTACTCAGAGAGTTAAGATGATTATGGTAACTATATAGTTTTCTTCTTCCTTTAGTATCTTTAGTTCCAGTGTCATATTCTGCTTTTCAACTTTTTTTTCTTCTTCCTATTAGCTTTCTGCAATTTTTGTCTCTTTCATTGATGCTCCTCTACCTTTTTTCTTTCCTTGTGCCTCATTTATTTGAGGGTCTTCCTCTCTCTCCTCTGAACAGATTTTTCAAGTTCCTCTACTTGACGTCTCTTTGAAAACCCATTGTTTGCAATGTTTTCAGTAGTTTAGGGGGCCATTGCCTTAGTCACGGGGCAAGTATAGGGCTTGGTTTTCACGCTGAGGGGAAGCCAGGGGAGACAGTGTCTGCTTATCCAGATGCTAAGGATGAGAAGTTGACATGCAGATACATAATTCATGACCTTTTATTTCAGGCTCTAGGCTTGGTTCTTGTTCATGCCCATAGTCGCTGGATAGCAGATCCTTCTCCTCAAAACAGTACATCAGAGAACTCCAGGGTTTCTTTAGGACTGGATGAAAATGTGTCCAAGAGAATTGAACCAAGTGTTTCCCTTTGGCAGTTTTATCTCTCCAAGTAAGTTCCCCGAGACCTGCTTTGTTGTGTATTAATCATAGCACTCTGTGTTACTAAAAGTTTAGGCTGAGCCTTTCTTATTTCTGAGTAATAACATTTTAATTTGCTTTTTTTAATTTAGAATGATCAGCATGGATATTGAACAAGTTGTTACCCTAGGTTTAGCTCTCCTTCTGGCTGTCAAGTATATCTTCTTTGAACAAGCTGAGACTGAATCTACACTCTCATTAAAAAACCCTATGACATCGCCTGTAGTGACCCCCAAAAAAGTCCCAGATGATTGTTGTAGACTGAACCTGTGCTGGTCAGGAATAGCCAGAAAGTCCATGCAGCAGAGGAGGAGACAAGGATAAACAGAGAAAGAAAAGGTGATTTCTCGTTTGTTTTATTTTCTGTTTTTCCATTCGTGATTTGTCAAGAAGTTTTCATTTTAAAACTTATGTTCAGATCCTTCCTACGGTCTCCTGGGACCGGGCTCAAGGTCTCCAGCGTGTGGTGGGGGAAAGGAAAAACAAAACAAAACCTATGTTCCATGTTGTGAGATTTCTTTCGATCTCTTGAACAGTTGAGGTCATAAAACCCTTTGTGGCAGAAACGGACACCCCAAGCAGAGCTACGTTTGTGGTTGGTAACTCCTCCTTACTTGATACTTCGGTGGAACTAGAGACACAGGAACCTGAAATTGAACTTCCCATGGAGCCTCGGCCTAATGAAGAATGTCTACAGATACTTGGGAATGCAGAGGTGAGGAAAATAAAATTAACTCAAGCTTTATATCTTTCCTAAGAAAAGGAGATTTATTTATTTATTTATTTATTTATTTATTTATTTATTTATTTATTTATTTATTTATTTGAGGAAGAAAGAAATTATAGCTATCAAGTACCTGTTAAGTTCTGGGCGTTGTGTGGTTTACAGGTAGTAAATTATTTCTTTATCTCCCACAACCTTGTGAGATAGTTGGAATTATCTCCATTTTTCAGATGAGAAAGAGAAAGCTGAGGCTCCAGGAAGCTTACTTTCCCAAAGTAATACACTTAGGAAATGGAAAGCTAATAAGATCAAGAGTCCCAAGATTTACTGGCTCGAGGTCAATGCTCTTTGTACTTTATTACTGTTTGCCAGAGAGACAAGCCACTACTCTATTCTCGAGTGTTTTGGGACCTAGAAAAGGTTTAACTCAAAAACAAGCTTCAAAAACTGAAGAAAGTTTTTTTTTTTTTAATTTGCTTTTAAAGTAAGCTTGATGCCCACAAAAAAGCTTGTTTTCCTTTGTGACATGTGAGTGAGTGTTCTGTCTCCATGACCGTCTCCATGACCATATGAGTCCAATCAGGCTTTAATGTGAATATTGTTTTTGTCGTATCTGCTTAATGTGGTTCATTCTTAATTTATGTGCACGTGAGTGAGAGTAGCATCAGGTTTGTTTTTCTTTCACTTTCCCTCATTCCTATTGATGTGCATAGTGATACTTGAATTGTCTTGCTATATACAGAGTTAACACAACTTGGGGGGGCATTGAAATCTTAAGTTTGAATTTATTTTTTTATGAACTTTTGTAAAATTTATTGCTTTGGTTTTACATTTGTTTAGTGTCATTTTTAGAAAGAATTTGCTTTCATTTTGATATTATTTCTATTCAAATCATCTCCTTCAGAACTTCAAAGTTTTTTGGGTTCTCCTCTACTGAGAGTGTTGTTTGTATTAAATGCCTTTATTATGAAGAATATGAAATGCACTTCAAGTTTTTTGTTCTCCTCAAACCAACTCCTCCCCTTTTTTTGCATTTCTTTAGAAAGGTGCAAAATTCCTTAGTGATGCAGAGATCATCCAATTAGTCAATGCTAAGCATATCCCAGCTTATAAATTGGAAACTCTGATGGAAACCCATGAACGAGGTGTATCTATTCGCCGACAGTTACTTTCCAGAAAACTTCCAGAGCCTTCTTCTCTCCAGTATCTACCGTACAGGGACTATAATTACTCCTTGGTATGTTGTTTTCTTGTTTTGAGAAAGTTTGCTTTGTAGCTTTTTAGTCTTTTAGCTTTACTCTTCAGCTTTTTTTTTAGTTTTTCTTGATTAGTCTTTTATATGTACATCGTTGTTTTTTTTAAGATTTTATTTATTTATTTGACAGCACAAGCAGCGGGGGCAGCAGGCAGAGGGAGAAGGAGAAGTATGCTCCCTGCTGAGCAGAGAGCCCAAATGCTTGGGATGCATGGAACTGGATCCCTGGACTCTGGGATCATGATCTGAACCAAAGGTGGACGCTTAACTGGCTGAGCCACCAGGTGCCCCTATGTACATCATTTTATAAAACTTTTTTAAAAATCATTTTACTATAGTTTTGTGTTCTGCTAATGATTACAGATTCTAGAAACTAAAAATGCTTTTCCTGTTATTTGTAGTTATTACTCTGCGATTTTAGTACTTTTAAATACTTTTAAAGAGTAATAAAAGGGGCGCCTGGGTGGCTCACTTGTTTGAGCATCCAACTCTTGGTTTCAGCTCTGGTGGTGATCTCAAGGTCATGAGGTAAAGCCCTGAGTTGGCTCCAAGCTCAGCAGGGAGTCTGCTTGAGATTCTCTTGCACCAACCCCTCAAAATAAATAAATAAAATCTTTAAAAAAAAGAGTAAATAAAAGATTTTGTTGACAAATACGCTAAAGGTTTAAGTTTGAAGACAGTTACTGATGACGAGCTGTTTGCAATAACAGATTTTCACTTGGTGCCAAATTTTACCTTTTAGGTGATGGGAGCTTGTTGTGAAAATGTTATTGGCTATATGCCCATCCCTGTTGGAGTGGCAGGGCCTCTGTGCTTGGATGGAAAAGAATTTCAGGTTCCAATGGCCACAACAGAAGGTTGTCTCGTGGCCAGCACTAATAGAGGCTGCAGAGCAATAGGTGTAAGTTGGCATTTATATATTTGCCTGTTTTATGATATGCGCTTAAGCCAGGCAATGAAAAAAGATTGGGGACAATCAAGGACACCTTTTGGGACAAGCAGAAGTGTTTGCAGGATTAACATGTCCTTCTGTAATATCCTCTGTGTAGCTTGGTGGAGGTGCCAGCAGTCGAATCCTTGCAGATGGGATGACTCGTGGCCCGGTGGTACGTCTTCCCCGTGCTTGTGACTCTGCAGAAGTGAAGGCCTGGCTTGAGACACCTGAAGGGTTCACAGTGATAAAGGAGGCTTTTGACAGTACCAGCAGGTATGTGTGTGGGTTTATATATGCATTTATGTTTATTTCAGAGCCAGTGTTCTCCTCTGTGATTGCTAAACTTAACTGTTAGCCTGTTAACATACTGCCTGCTTCAGGTCACATAACAAAATATTACCTTTAAGACCGTTTATTCAAAATGAGTAATATTTGTGGTTGGTTTACGGGGATGTCGGTGGGGGCATAATGTTGATTCAAATGAATCCATACGAGTAGATAGAAAAAAATAGCGTGAGCTAGTCTCTTTGTGTGTTGGTGTTACAAAGCTCACTTTGATTAGACTGTTACTTTGTCCTAGATGAGTTTTGACTTAGAATTGCCATAGGGAGGAATTGCCTGAAAAAAAGATTTTCCAAGCAGGATAGAAGTAAATATCTGGATAGTAGATTTACTTTGAATACAGAAAATTGATTTATAAAGTAACATAATCAGTACAAATGTTAGCTTCATTTTATTATTATTTTTTTTTAGAGAGAGGGTGCGTGTATGAGTGAGGGGAAGGGCAGAAGGAGGAGAGAGAGAATCTCAAGCAGGCTTCACAGTTCATGGAGCCTGATGTGTGAGGCTGAGATCCCCTGAGTCATGACCTGAGCGAAAGTCAAGAGTTGGACGCTTAACCACCTGAGCCACCCAGGCACCCCATTGATAGCTCCATTTAGTTCAAGTTTATATGTTTGTTTGTTTATTTATTTTTTGACTTTTAAAGTTTGTGTATGATGATGGCTGAGTGCAGCAGCTTTCCCTTCGTGTGGCGTATGAGACAGTTGAATTAGTGTTCTAACATAATGTTAGTTAAAGAAGAAAATAGTAAGTAATCTCCATGAGCATTCTCTTATGTGTAAAATAAATCAACGGAACTAGATTTTTAAGGTAACTTCCATCTTCTCAACAAATCAAAAAAATATTTGGTTTTGGTTACAGATTTGCACGTCTGCAGAAACTTCATATGAGTATGGCTGGTCGCAATCTTTATATCCGTTTCCAGTCCAGGTCAGGTGATGCAATGGGGATGAACATGATTTCAAAGGTGAGCCTGGATAGACTAAAATAGAACTTGCAAGACGATTGACCCAAGGGAGGGGAACTGGTGTCAGGGAGATAAGAGTGGGGAGCAGACTTACTGTTTATGTCCTCCTATATTTTTAAATTTTGTGTCATGTACATATACTACTTACTCAAATGATTACTTGATTGAAAGATTTTTATTGAAAGCTAAATACTGATTCATATAAGTCATCAGGCATTTCTTGACCAGTGTTTGTATTTGATATGTTTAAACTTGGCATTATATATGCTCTGGGTCTATTCAGAAGGCTGAGAAAAATCTTGGGGTTAGTGCTTCTTAACGTGGTCCTATAAATCTTGAAAGCTTGCCTCTTTGAGAGACCTCAAGACTTGTATGTCAGAGGCCAAGTTCATGTGTATAGTCCATTTATTTTAATTATCTCCCCATAAGAAGACTGTATGGTTTACATTTTATTCTACTGATATTTGTTATTTAAAAATATTCACAAATGTGAAGTGTTAAAGTCCATTAGGTTAGCAAGATTTATTTTGTGGTTTACCTGTATATAAGGACTGTTCTGAAAGAGAAAGAGTGACTAAATACATAGGTTTTAAAAGTTGCCAAAAAGCAGTAGAGTGGTTCCTTAAAAAATTAAAAATAGAATTATGATCCAGCAAATCCACTTCTGGGTATTTACCCAGAAGAATTGAGAGTTTCAGAGACTTATTTATAAGCACACCCATGTTCATGGCAGCATTATTCACAATAGCCTAAAGGTAGAAGCAACCCAAGTGTTCATGGACAGATGAATGGATAAATAAAATGTAGTATGTACATAAAATGGGATGTTTTTAAACTCCATTATTAAAATAGGAAAATCTGATATATGCTAAATGAACTTTTGAGGATCACTTGCTAAGTTAAATAATCTGGTTAACAAAAAAGACCAAAGGCTATAAGTAAATTCATACTAATGAGGCACCTAGATTAGTTCAATTCATAGAGACAGAAAGAAGTGGGGAAGAGAAAAGGAAATAGGGAGTTGCTGTTTAATGGGTTTGGAGTTTGTTTTTTAAGATGAAAAGAGTTCTGGAGATGGGGTGCACTACGGTGTGAATGTCCTTAACACTACTCACCTGTACACTTGAAGATAGTTAAGAGGGTAAGTTCCAGGTCACGTGTATTTTACCACAAAACACATTTTTAAAAAATTGCCAGTAAGTATTTTGGTTATTGAGGTACGAGTTATTGATTGAATTAATGTCAGTTAATTGGAAGTCTTGCTTACATTTTTGTAAGTCATTTTCCCAATGACTTTCATTTACAACAGGATTTGCTTTTATGTCTGACTCCTCTTTATTGACTTGGTAACTTGGGCTTTTAGGTAATATGTGAATAACTAGAAGAAGGAATTTATTACATGTTGATCATGGGTTGAGTTACTTACTCCCAGTGACATGATTATGAGTATTATATCCTCACTGAGTATTTTTAAATTCATTTTTAAATTTAGTTAAATTAAAAACTTTTAAATTTATATTCAATTTAGTTAACATAGAGTATATTATTAGCTTCAGGGGTAGAATTTAGTGATTCATCAGTTGCATATAACATCCAGTGCTCACTACATCAGGTGCCCTTGTTAATGCCCATCACCCCTTACCCCTCCCCCTGCACCTTCCCTCCAGCAACCCTCTGTTTCCTAGAGTTCAGTGTTCTCTTATGGTTTGCCTCCCTCTCTGTTTTCATCTCATTTATTTTTCCCTCCCTTCCCCTATGTTCAGCAGTTTTGTTTCTTAAATTCCATATATGAGCGAAATCATACAGTATTTGTTTTTCTCTGGTTTATCTCGATTAGCATAATACCCTCTAGTTCCATCTACATTATTGCAAATGGCAAGATTTCATTCTTTCTGATGGCTGAGTAATACCACTTGTTTATCCATTCATCTGTCGATGGACACATCTGGGCTCTTTCCATACTTTGCCTGTTGTGGACATTGTTGTGGTAAACATTGGAGTGTAGCTGCTCCTTTGAATCCCTGTTTGTATCCTTTGGATCAATGCCTAGTGCAATTGCTGGGTCATAGGGTAGCTAGCTAGCTCTATTTTCAACTTTTTGAGGAAGCTCCATACTGTTCTCCAGAGTGACTGCACCAGTTTGCATTCCCACCAACAGTGCAAGAGGGTTCCCCTTTCTCATCCTCGCCCGACATCTGTTGTTTCCTGAGTTCATTTTAGCCATTCTCACTGGTGTGAGGTGGGATCTCATCGTGGTTTTGATTTGTATTTCCCTGATGGCAAGTGATGAGGAGCGTTTTCTCATGTGTTTGTCGGCCATGTCTATGTCGTCTGTGGAGAAATGTCTGTTTATGTCCTCTGCCCATTTATTGATAAGATTATTTGTTTTTTGGGTGTTGAGTTTGGTAAGTTCTTTATAGATTTTTTATACTAGCCCTTTATCTGATAAATCCTTTGTAGATATCTTCTCCCATTCTAATATTCTCATTATGTTTTCATTTACGTCCTCGTTCATCAGGAACTACAAAGAACTTTGTTTTTATTCCTAGAAACCGTAGAGGTCTATACCTAAGAAATTCATCACTGTGATGGCTAATAAAGCTGCTGTTGTTTTATGCTCACTTTTTTTGAAGTATATTTATTGTATTTAGAAATATTATAGTTACTGTACTTCATTAGTGTTATTAGATGCAAATAAAGCCTCTGATCTATAATAACTTTGTGCATTTTAATTTTGTTGTGCTGTTGACAGGGCACAGAGAAGGCACTTTCAAAACTTCATGAACATTTTCCTGAAATGCAGATTCTAGCAGTTAGTGGTAACTACTGTACTGACAAGAAACCTGCTGCTATAAATTGGATAGAGGGAAGAGGAAAGTCTGTGGTTTGTGAAGCTGTCATTCCAGCCAAGGTTGTCAGAGAAGTGAGTGACTGGATGATTTATTTTGTCACGCTTTCATTGGGTTAAAAATCGGGAAAGGATTCTAACGTTCTAAGTAAAGTTGAATATATGGGCGTATGCTTGATGTTAAAGATGGCTGTTGTATCTTGCCCATGCGTGTGGGGCATTCACATGAGCACGCTGGGCTGGTACTGTGTATTGAGGACAAGGCATCAACAGGGCCATATCTAAACGCTCTTGCTTTACTGAAAAAGACAGATCTGGGTAACATGCCCTGAATCTTCCAGGAGAACATGTAAAATGTGCACAACTCTGTCTACTAGGTATTAAAGACTACCACAGAAGCTGTGATTGAGGTCAACATTAATAAGAATCTGGTAGGCTCTGCAATGGCCGGGAGTATCGGAGGCTACAATGCCCACGCGGCAAACATCGTGACTGCCATCTACATTGCCTGTGGACAGGTGAGGGCTCCCATCTCGACTTCTCTCTTGTACTTCTAAGTGAGAGAAGTTTTATACTCTTCGTTTTTATTTTTTTCAGGATGCAGCACAGAATGTTGGCAGTTCAAACTGTATTACTTTAATGGAAGCAAGTGGTCCCACAAATGAAGATTTGTATATCAGTTGCACCATGCCGTCTATAGAAATAGGAACTGTGGGCGGTGGCACCAACCTGCTCCCTCAGCAAGCCTGTTTACAGGTATGACGCCTCAGCCCCACAGTCTGGGGACTTCCAGCCTAGTTCTGACTCGCTGGGATTCTTTATTTCTGCCCAACAGCACTTCTCACTCATCTGTATTTTAGCTGGTCTTTTCATTCTTTTGCTTCTCACCAGCCGAACCCGGTGTGTCCAAGTAAGCATTTGAGGCATATGTTTAGTACATTGAGAAAGCAAATTAAGAGAGCAAATAAATGTTCATGTCCTCTGAATACGTGCCCCTGCAAACCAGGCTGTGGATGTTATGTTCACTGCGGTGTATGTTATTGCCAGTACTGGCTATCAAATCTTGGAAATTGAGTCCTTCCAATGGAGTCAGGTTCTGTTCTGATGCCGTCGTAGTTCTTATTTCAATTGGTAGAAAAGGAAGTTGTTGCCATAACTTTGAGTCCTGCTGTGTCTCTCCCTGGCTGCAGATGCTAGGTGTTCAAGGAGCGTGCAAGGACAATCCCGGGGAGAATGCCCGGCAGCTTGCCAGGATCGTGTGCGGTACAGTGATGGCCGGGGAGTTGTCACTGATGGCAGCGTTGGCAGCCGGACATCTCGTCAAAAGTCACATGATTCACAACAGGTAAAACTTAAAAGATTTATTTAATGTGTTTCCCCTATACTTAAGATACACGTACAAAACCCTACTATACAGATAGAATAGTTCTAACTTAAAATTCTATACCCTTGATATTTTGTGTATCTCCTCTCTGTCTTTTTCTGTCATAGGTCAAAGATAAATTTACAAGACCTCCAAGGAACTTGCACTAAGAAGGCTGCTTGAATAGCCTGACAGCTCTGAACTGAAACGTGGGCATTGGGTTCTAAAGGACTAACATAAAATCTGTGAATTAAAAAGCTCAATGCGGTGTTGTGTTGAGGATGAATAGACATGATCTGTGAGACGACTACTTGGTTTTTGGCTCTTTCAGAAAGGTCTGGCATCCTTCTTTCCATGCAGATTTCTCAGATCTGAAAATAGTGTAGTGTTTTACATGCCGTGCTCTCTGGAAAGATCTGAACACGGATACCGTGCTTTAAATCCTCACAGATGGTAATCTACAGCTCACTTCTGAAAGAGAATACAAGCTGGCCAAAAGTGTTGACATCCATGGAGTTCATGATGATCAGTGTGAGATTGACCCTCCTCTTCATCCTCCCTTCCCTCCATGGTTGAAAATGGATTTTTAAATTACACTGTAGCTGACAAACTGATTTCATAGTTAATTTATTAAGTCTGGGTTATAGAACTGTAAGAAATAAGAGCTAAGTTTATTTTTTTGTAAACTAATACTTCATTTGGTGCTGGTCTATTTTGATTTCTTTATGGGGTAGCCGTTGTGATTCTTCAGAAGGGGACCTGCTTTCTTCAAGGGAAGAATTACTCTTTTTCCCAAACTACTGAATTATGTGCTAAGCAGTGCTAAATCCTTCTCCGTCAAGAAAACAAATCACCGCATTAATTTCTGCAGGCTATTTGTTCAGAGAGGCTGCTTGTCTAAGTATAGATGTTGGTCTAGATTGCTAGAACATATTTGCTAGCCTAAGGCTTTAAGAAACAGAGTTTTGCCTTCTTCGTTACAGATACCAGGGCTCTTAATAAATACTGCTTAGACACAGGTGGCCCTCTTTATCAAGAACTCACAAGTGTGACCTCTCAGAGCTCAGAGGGTGGAAAACAAGTTTGAAAGAAAAACAGCATTTCTCTAAGCCAACTTTAATTCTTAAAAGACACTTAAATTTATTGAGCAGAAAAATCTAGATGGTTTTTTGTAAAGAACTGTATCAGATCTGTATATGTTGTAATAAAAGCTTCTTATGCTAGGAGTTTATTGAAAGTGTTTAAGACAAATAAAAATCAACGTGTGCACTGATCAAACATTTTAAGCTTGGGCCAGAGAAGGTAGTCCCCTTTAATGTCGCCAGGAAACCCTGGCGTGCTTGTGGAGCCCAATGAAAGGGGAATAGCTTTCAGAGCCCACGAGGTGCCACGTGAATGGCCCCAGAGGAGTCTGCTTCATTCCTGTGGCCAGGAGGTTGGTGACTGAAACGTTCACACAGGGCTCCTCGGTAGACCCACAGAAGCTCTTAGCTTCCTCGGGGTCCGCGGAATTGTTGAATCTTAATTGTTTTTAATGTACAAGTTTTATATAAGTAATAAAGAACTCCTTATTTTATATTACATCTAATGGTTCAAGTGTTGGTCTTGGAGAGAGAAGATGGACTCTGAAGAACATTCCAGTAATGCCGTGGCAGCGTGGAGAGCCTCTGAGTGGTTGTGTCTGCAGTACTGTTGTGGAAGATTGACCTTTGCTGTTGTATGTAAAGTTTAAATTGCTTCTGTTGTGACTTTGAGCCAGTGACTTATTTATCTGAACTTTTCACGGAAGTGGCAGTGAACAGTGTGAGTCTTCATTCTGGTGACTGTAACCAATATCGTCTTGCTAAATTAATGGTTTGTACAATTAACTAAGTTGTATAAATTTGTTATACTTTTTGCCCAGTTCTAGTAAATTATGAAAAGGAAGTGTAATGCTGATCGGTGTAAACAGTAACCTTTTTGTTTGGATTTGCCCTTGGCCGAGAGCCTGGAAGCTTGAAAGTCCGACCAGGGTGGTAACCCAATTCCTGCGAGGTGTCCTGTGACCATTTATCATTTTCCATTATATGCTCCAGTTCCTACAACACTAATGGCAGGCCAGTGTTTTATGAGTATTAAAATAACTTTCTTTATACTTAGGAGAATTTGATTAGTCTAGACTTCTCTCAGCTGGACTGCTTTTGGGTGTTGAGGCAGGAGGGTTAGTTGAGAGGAAGAGGGCATGGAGACCGGGCACAAAGCCAAACGGCCCGTGTACGCTGAAGCTGTATCTGCTTCTTGGGGAGGACGTCCTAGCGTAGGCGCAGCTGGCTGCTTGAGAGGCTGAGTGCCCTCTGCTATAGTCAGTGAAAGATGTGTAGGAGCCACCCCAGAACCAAGACCCAGATACTGGAAAAAGTTTGAATTTTTCTCCTGAACACGTGTATGGTCCGCCCCTGCCAGAGCGGAGCAGGCCGGACAGGTGACCGCGGAGAGTTTTCGTGCCCTTTTCTGCTCTGGTGATCGGATGAGCAGTGGAATGTATATGGCGGGACAGGATTTTTCTTCATCTTGGGAAAGGATAGGGAATTAAATTAAAAGTTACGTCGTCTCCTGTTGAGGGTCTGAGTTCAAACGAGGACACAACAGCAAGACACATCAATACAAGTGCACTGTGTACACAAGTCTGAAATAAGCAGTTAATTCATTATAGGATTGTTCTTTTGAAAGACTAATGTTTTTCAAAAACGTTCTGCTACGGATAAGACTTGAATTTATTAAAAATTAACTTTACTTGCTTAGCAAAAATAATGAATAACCTCTACACTGGAAGCCGAGAGGATCACAAATGATTTAGCCTACAGTTACATTTTAACGGATTACTTTTTCATGCTGATGTACATGGAACTTTCCGCAGCGTCTTTTCTTTTCCTCCTGAGGAACTTTGAGAGCTACTGACAGAGGCCTGGGTACTCCTGTGTCAGGATAGAAGTTTTCAAGCAGCTGCTCCCTGAGGCCAATGGAAGAGCCTTGGGCTGTACCCACAGGATTCAGGAGGCGGACCAGAGTGCTCCAGGCCAGTGGTTCTCCCACTGGAGTGCGCAGAAGGGTTATCTGGAAGACTGGTCAGAAGGTGGATTGCTGGGTGGGCCCCAGGCTTTCGATTCCCTTGCTCTGCGCTGGGCCAGGACTTGAGCGATTGTCTTGCTGCTGCACCTGCTCTAACGGTTTCGGGGGGAGGTGCCTGGCATTCCTGCAAGGGTGGGAGTGGGGTCTCTTCACTGCACAGCCCTGGAAGGCCCCTTGGGCCGGCCCGCTGCCCCTAATAAGATGGAACTAGAACTCATCGTAGAGATTGTGAACTAGTTAGTGTAACTAACCGACTAGAAAGCACGTTTGGAGTGGGTGACACCCCCACCCCCCAAGTAAAGGCTCCACTTCTGTAGCCTTCTGGTCCCCTCCCTCTCCTGCCCCCTGGTCGCTCCTTGCCCCTCCCAAAGGGCCAGTAAAGGGGGAGGGAGAGGGGTAGGCAAACCTGTTTCCACTCACTCACCTCCCCTCTGTGACCTTGTCGCCTCAAAGTGTGACTTTGTAGCTGGACTTCTCAGGGTTTGGGGTTGCAGCTCCGGAGCAGGAGTGCTCAGGCGAGGGCCCTGGGTTCTGGTGGGGGAGCCGTGGGGGGCCCGGCCGCCGGCCCTCCGCTCTGCCTCCACCCGGCTTCGTGTTAGAGCGCGGGACCCAGCGGGGCGCCCCTCGCAGCTCCCGCGCCCGGCGTGAGCCCGGGTCCAGGCCGAAGCCTCTGGGCGGCGGGGCGGCGGGGCGGGGCGGTGGGCCCCGGGTGGGCGGAGGTGATGGAAATCCTCAGGTCAAAGGCTGCGGGTCCTCGTGTCCTGGTGCGTGTCGCCCGCAGCGTCCTCGGGGCTGGACGGGGTCCGCGGGCCCTTGGGAGCGCCTCCCCCGACGACCTCGGGGGCCCGGGGGCCGTACGGTAAGGGGGGGCCCGAGGACGAGGAGGGCGGCCGGGGACCGGGGTCGGGGGGGGTCGTGGGGCCCCGAGGAGCGGCCGGGACGCGCCGGCTCAGCCCCGGGCCCCACCTGCGTCCCCTTGGGGCTCGGTCCCCCGTGTCCCCGGCGAGCGGCCCGCGTGCACCTGCTGTGCGGCCTCGTTGCCCGACGCAGGAGCGCCCAGGACACTGCGGACCCCGGGCCCGGCGGCGGCGTGGCCGGAGCCCCGCGCTGTGTCCGTGGGCAGCTCGGGGCCGCCTTTGCGGGGCCGCGTCCCCCGCCCCGTGCTCGCGGTGGCCCCGCGGAGCTGCCGACGGCCCCCGAGGGGCGCGGGCCTGCGGAGCGGACGGTCCCGCGTGGGGCGGGGAGTCCGTGGGCAGCCGGGCGGCGCACCTGCTGGCCATGGGCGGGCGGATCGGGGCGTGGGGGGTCCTGGTGACGGCCCGGGAAGCGTCCCCGTTGGGACCAGGCCCGCCCCCCGCCCCCGAGGCAGGCTCGCGGAAAGGGCGCTTTTAAATGGTAACAGCGCCCACGCCGACAGGTCCCGTCGTCTAGTTCAAACAGCGGCCAAGTCAAGAAGATGCCACGAAGCCAACTCGGCTCGAAATAAGCTGGTTCGAAGGACACGTCGTTGCGGGTTGCAGCTCAGGCCAAGCCGGAGGCAACAGCGCAGGGCCCAGGGCTCCAAGGGCTCCCGGGGGACGACGGGCAGCGAGGCCTCGCGTCCAGCCCCGCAGCCGAGCCCAGCGTGTCCCGAAGCCGCAGCAGCCTCAGGGCCTGCCCCGGGGCCCGGCGCCCCGCAAAGCCCCACGGCCGGCTTGCGGCCGCTGGAGAACACACACTCCCCGGGTGTGATAAGTGGAGCTGCATCATTTAGATAAATAAGTGGGGATTTATTTAAGGGGAAGTACGCGTAGTTGAGTTGTAAGGGCATGACTCGCACTGTACTTTCACTAGAAATACCCAACTGCATAGGCCTTTACTTTCTAGCAATTTCAAAAACCTCTGGACCAGCTTCCGCAGTAAGAATTTTATTTCACACCGTGACCCACCACACACACACACACACACACACACACACACACAACACACATACGAAGGATTCACAAAATACAAAAATATACACAATCTATTCCACTCTGTTCTATATTGACTAAAAAAATTTTTTTACATGGATTTCTTGATCCCTAACTGGATTATAAATAACCCAGTTTAATAACTATTGAAGTCGAGGTAAGTTCTTAACTTACCCAGAATTATCAGGCAGCATTTTGGGGTTAAGGAAAACAATCAAACAAGTAT